GATAGAATCACTGAACTACCTTGAGGTCCACATCACATCGATCCGCACCAACGGCCGGCGGATTCACCAAGGAGTAGTCAATGCCAGCAAAGCGGTCGATCTGGGATGAAACTGGAGAAGGGCAGAGAGAAAAGCAGGTGAAAGGAAGGGAAGCCTAAATGGGCCAATGCATTAGGCAAATTTCTGGTTAGTCCTGCTCACCATTCATAGTCCTCAGGACTTGTTCCAATCCATCAATTCCTTTCTTGACCTCGGTGCATAGCTAAAAGTAAAGAGAATCCAGATGAAGTTATGAGGCTCAGGGTGTTTCTCAGTCCTCAATTCAAGGGGCTGCATTGAACCCAAGAGTGTGTCTACATTGTGGAATTAATGCAGTTTGATCCCACTTTAACTGCCATGGCTCAAGGCTATAGAATCCTGGGAGTGGTGGCAGAAAAGATGCTCAAGGCCTTGATTAGCTCCATAGCATGAAGCCATAGCAGTGAAACTGGGGCCAAACTGCATTAATTCTACAGTATAGAACAGGCATGGGGAAAACTTGGGCCCTCCAGGTGTTTTGGACTTCAACTCCCACCATTGCTAACAATGTAAGGCTTATTATTATTATTATTATTATTATTATTATTATTATTATTATTATTATACCCAGGCCTGAGTTGTTATGTCCAGAAGAGAGAGAGACCTGAGCAAGGCCACATTCCTGGGAAAGACCTTTCATCACTTTTCTCAGAGCAACAGCCTCAAAATGATGCTGTGATTGCTTTGCTAGATTCAGAGGGCGAGGATAGTGAAACCTTGAGGTCGGATGACCATCTGTTGGGAAGACTTTGTTGGTGCTTTTCTTGCAAGAAAGCAGAAGGGTGCTGGACTTCATGTTTTTCAAAGGTGTCTTCCAATTCTATCTGTTATTAATGTTACTATGATTATTATTACGGCTGGATGGCCATCTGTTGGGAGGGCTTTGGTGGTGCTTTTCCTGCATGAAGGCAGAAGGGAGCTGGAGTGGATGGCCTTGAGAGGTCTCTTCCAATTTCTATTTATGATTACAGCTGGGTGGCCATCGGTTGGGAGGGCTTTGGTGGAAGGCAGAAGGGAGCTGGCATGGATGGCCTTGAGAGGTCTCTTCCAATTTCTATTTATGATTACAGCTGGGTGGCCATCGGTTGGGAGGGCTTTGGTGGAAGGCAGAAGGGAGCTGGCATGGATGGCCTTGAGAGGTCTCTTCCAATTTCTATTTATGATTACAGCTGGGTGGCCATCGGTTGGGAGGGCTTTGGTGGAAGGCAGAAGGGAGCTGGCATGGATGGCCTTGAGAGGTCTCTTCCAATTTCTATTTATGATTACAGCTGGATGGCCATCTGTTGGGATGGCTTTGGTGGAAGGCAGAAGGGAGTTGGAGTGGATGGCCTTGAGAGGTCCCTTCCAATTCTATTTATGATTATAGCTGGATGGCCATCTGTTGGGAGGGCTTTGGTGGTGCTTGTACTGCATGAAGCAGAAGGGGGCTTGACTGGATTACCTTCAGAGGTCCCTAAAGGCCACCCAGGAATTGCATTAATTCTACAGTATGGAACAGGCATGGGCCAACTTCATCCCTCCAGGTCTTTTGGACTTCAACTCCCATCATTCCTAACAGCCTCAGGCCCTTTCCTTTTCCCTGCTCAGCCACTTAAGTATCAACAATGAGAACGAGATTTTCTCCTTTTTCTCAGGATGTTCAGAGAGGAAGAATCTGCTTGAAATGCTCCAAACCTTACTTGTTTGTTGACCTCTGATCGCAGGACTCCCTTGAGAACGGACGCAAGCATGTTGTACAGCCAGCTGTGGGAAAGAGGAGGGACAAGGGTGAAACCCAGAGCACAACCTCAACCCACAGGAGGTTTCCTAGCAAAATGCATAGAAAATAAAATGCTGGAGAAGGCAGCGTGGGAATCGACGCTCACAGACTTATGCATGTGCACATTATTATCACTCATCAATATATGCATGCCTCTGCTTATACGGTGCATCTCCACATGCAACCCGTAATGTGAATTCATGTCTATCCATGCGCTATAGTAAAGGTAAAGGTTTTCCCCTGACATTAAGTCTAGTCGTGTCCAACTCTGAGGGGTGGTGCTCATTCCCACTTCTAAGCCAAAGAGCCGGCATTGTCCGTAGACACCTCCATAGGTCATGTGGCCAGCATGACTGCATGGAGCACCATTACCTTCCCACCAGAGTGGTACTGATTGATCTACTCACATTTGTCATGGGGCCAGCATGACTGCATGGAACACCATTACCTTCCCACCGGCGCAATACCTATTGATCTACTCACATTTGCATGTTTTTGAACTTCTAGGTTGGCAGAAGCTGGAGCTAACAGTGGGAGCTCACCCTGCTACCCAGATTCAAACCTGCAACCTTTTAATCAGCAAGTTTAGCAGCTCAGCTGTTTAACCCACAACTGTATTATCATATTTATATAATAATAAATTTACAATATGATATACATATTATAATAGTAATAATAAAATATAATACAAAGAAGAAGAAGAAGAAGAAGAAGAAGAAGAAGAAGAAGAAGAAGAAGAAGAAGAAGAAGAAGAAGAAGAAGACAGGGAGATAGATGGAGAGAGCGAGGATTAGCACTTGTATGGTTTGGGATGATGGGTGTTGTAGTCCAAAATAGGATAGATAGATAGACAGATAGACAGATAGACGGATGGACGGATGGATGGATGGATGGATGGATGGATGGATGGATAGATGGATAGATGGATGGATGGATGGATGGATGGATGGATGGATGGATAGATGGATAGATGGATAGATGGATAGATGGATAGATGGATAGAGATATGATATAGATATATATGGATGGATAGATAGATGGATGATAGATGGATGGATGGATGGATGGATGGATGGATGGATGGATGGATAGATAGATGGATAGATACTGTAGATGGATGGATGGACAGAGGGATAGCTGGATAGGTAGATGGATGGATGGATGGATGGATAGATGATAGACAGACAGAAAGATAGATAGATAGATAGATACCATAGATACCGCTCCTGTTATGAATCAGAATGTAAATATCCAGTATGCAGGATGTGTTTTCATTCACTGGAGCAAATTTGGCACAAATACCTAATATGCCCAAATTTGAATACTGATAGAGTTGATTTTGTCATTTGGGAGTTGTAGTCGCTGGGATTTATAGTTCATCTACAATCAAAAGCATTCTGAACTCCACCAAATATGGAATTGAACCACACCTGGCACACAGAACTCCCATGACCAATAGAAAATACTAGAAGAGTTTGGTGGGCAATTGACCTTGAATTTGGGAGTTGTAGTTCATCCACAACTAGAGAGCACTGTGGACTCAAACAATGATGGATCTGGACCAAACCTGGCACAGATCTTCAATATGCCCAAATGTGAACACTGGTGGAGTTTGGGGAAATGAGACTTGATTATTGTGATTCTATGGTTCTAATTCCAACAGAATTCCAGCTATTGTCCGACATTAAGCCTTGGTGCTATTAATCCCAACTTGGAGGGATTTCAGAGGGCATTTTCCTTTTGGAAGAAATGCCCAAACGAAGTCCTTCTCCGGGTGTAAATAAGACGACGAGCCGTGCTTTGCATGGAAGGAAAGAGATTAGACTTCTCCTTTGCAAATGGAGCTCTCTCTACGTTTTCTGGGTCACGTATTCCCCGAACATCTCCCGGATCTAAAGCTATCCAGATTGTGGGGCTGCGGGCCGGCATCTGTGCATTTAATTCCTGCAAAGCCATTAGAATATGTTCAGCATTTCTATAAATAGAAATACAGTTGTAAAGCAAGGAGGGTGACTTGGGGGCAGATCGTTCATGGGGTCACCTTCAGTCAATGTTGACCAGGCAGCCATGATCAAGAGTGCCGGCGCCTCACCAAACTGCAAATCCCAGGATTCTGTAGCATTGTGGAGTCAAACAGCATTGATTCTACAGTGTAAATCAGGCAGGGGCCAACTTTGGCCCTCCAGGTGTTTTGGATTTCAACTCCCACAATTCCTAACAGCCGGTAGGCTATTAGGAATTGTGGGAGTTAAAGTCCAAAACACCTGGAGGGCCAAAGTTTACCTATGTCTGATCTAGACACCCATTTGAAGCAGCCTAGAACTACATCGTTTCCTGATAAGGATAGGGGAACTTCACCTGTGAGGTAAAATACACAACTTACCTGCTCTTTCCAGAGAGTTTCAGGTCCAAGCCTCCAATGGAAGACTGGCAGCCCTCCTGCCGCACAACCGGCCGGCCCTGGTCATCTTTGTCCAGCCCAAGGAGAGCGGAAAGGGACAGCTGCTTTATGCTGATGTCAATGATGCCAGTCTCACTCCTGCAGAGCAAAGAGGACAAGGACTGAAATAAAGATAGATAGATAGATAGATAGATAGATAGATAGATAGATAGATAGTTGCATAGGCTCATAGGCAGATGGATGGATAGATAGATAGATAGATAGATAGATAGGGTGGATGGATGGATGGATGGATGGATGGATGGATGGATGGATGGATGGATGGATAGATAGATAGATGGTAGAGATGATAGATGGATAGATAGATACCGTAGAAGGATGGATGGATGGATGGATGGATGGATAGAAGGATAGCTGGATAGGCAGGCAGACAGACAGACAGACACACACACAGAGAGAGAGAGAGAGAGAGGAAGGAATAGCTGGATACACTTACAATCAGAGAGCATTCTGAACCCCATCAATGATAGAATTGGGCCAAACTTCCCATACAGAACCCACATGACCAACAGAAAATACTGTGTTTTCTGATAGCCTTTGGTGACCCCTCTGACACCCCCTCGCAACCCCCCCAGGGGTCTTGACCCTCAAGTTGAGAAACACTGTGTTGGATGATCTAAAGTGTTCTCTTTAGAAATAAGCAGAAATTGTTTACTTTCTGATCTTCAAATAGTCACTTACAGATAGATAGATAGATAGATA